CCCCCCCCCCCCCCCCCCGCCCCACCCGCGCTGCTGGGGTGCACACTAACCATCTCTACATGCCCCCACAAACCACGTCACCTTCTACTTTATTACTCGAATAATTCATCCACTCCCTAGACAACTGTAGTCCAGAAAAAAACGACAACCGTAAAGCATCTAGTCTATCCTAGTCTAAACATCAACGATTGGTCTCGGGATCCGTTGCCGTCCTCGGGAGGAAATGGGAGCCGGCGGCGGCGGCGGTTGAACCAAGGGAACCGCCGCCCCTCTCGGCCGTCTCGCTCCTCCTTGGACGGGAGCACCTCTCTCTCCCGCCGTCCTCCGCCCGCCCTCCCGCCCCCATTTATTTGCTCTCCACGAGCACCAGCGGTGCGGTCCTGGCCACCCTGTCCCCTGCCACGCCCCTCTCGCCCACCGCCACCGCCCCCCCGATCGCCGTCGGCGTCCNCTCGCCCGCCGGCCCGTCGGCCGCCCCGTCCGCCGCCCTGCCCGCCGCCCTGCCCGCCGCTCTGCCCGCCGCCCCGCCCACCACCTGCTCCAGATGGTCGGTTGGCTACCTTGGTGCCTGTTGCGACAATTGCCTTCCCCGACTTTGTACCTTGTGGGGTCGAACCTACAACACACACGGGAGAAACATGCGTGCATCGGGGGTAAAGGCAGTTGAACAATCAGTAAACTAACTTCACAAAAAAAAAACGCGCGTACAAACACACACGGACGCTGCTCGCTCCGGGTGGTGGCACACAGCAGTGGTGACGGGCCATTTTTTTTGTGCAACAAGCGTCGGATTCGTTTTAACATTGGGTACGACCCAATAACCCCACACCCATGACAGTTTACATTGAGCTCCAAACCTAGGTGGGTTTACAAAAACAAAGCGTCCTACTGAAGTCTTCCCTTGACCAGTCTATCTAAACTTCGCGCGGCGTTCAGCATCACACCACATGCATTTGATGCGGACCAGCAACAACACACGCTCGCTGTTGCCGGTAGCACCAAAACAAAAAACGACGTTATGGAAATGTTAGCACATAGCCAGCACAAATCTGTCCGGGGATATAGTACCGATTTGAACATCCGGCAACATAACTTTTGCTGCAGACCGAAATTTCCGACACGTTTTTTTTTGCTGCGCAGAACACTTTTCAGCGCAGACGCCAGACGCCAGAAAACGCACTTTTCAAAAAATCAGACCACACACGGCTGTTCACGTGCCGCCAAGTCGAGCCAAACTGAGCTCTTTGGCGGGAATCGCCGGTTGGAGGACTTATAAGCGGACCCACCAACAACATGTCTGCTGCGGAAAGCGCTGCCAGCAGACCAAAACGCAAGAATTTGACAACTTCGGAGAAAAAAGGCATGGTTGCCGAGCTGCTCAAGGGCATCAACAACCCTGTCACTTTCACAATATTCCAAATGAGAACTATATTGCCGGATATCTCTGATATCCCGGGGATGACATTCCATCATCCCCGGTTAGCCCATGACACTTTTTTTTTTTTCTTAATATGACACCACCTTGCCAGGGTATTAGACTACACAAATCCATAATATATGTACATAAACTATCATGCGGCAGAGTGTAACTGAGATGACCACAGGGACTGGTACATGCTGAACCCTCAGCCGAATCCAGCAACACACATGCAGGCGTGTTGTGGTCAAAGCGTATGACAAGCAGCAGCGGCTCGGGAAGATATGCGGAACAACTAATAGCTGGATCTTTTTTTGGCAGCAGCAGCAGATCTCCGCGTTGTTGCGACACATCGCAGTGCTGCAGGTACTGCGCATACGAAACCACAGCAGTCGATACTGACACCACTGACACCCACTGACACCCACTGACACCTCAGCCCTTGCCCTAATTTACTTGTCTCGTCCGTGTTGAGGATGCGTTCCGGCGGGAGCTTGGTCTCCGCCAGGTACTCCGCCCATGCCTTGTAGAAAGCTTCATGGCGAGGCTCGTCGTCTTCGTTAATCCGCTTTGCTTCGTAGATGTGGGTGGCTCGCTCCGACAACCCCGGGTGCCCCGCCATGAACCCCTCAAGCCAGCTGTCCCCTGGGCCCTTGTCTGGGTTCGAGGGCACCTTGCGTCCGTCGCTGCAGATGTTGCGCACAGCATCTTTCAGCTCCCTCCGACCCAATAACAAGAAGTAGTGTCGGGAGGCCTAGATCAAGACATCTTCGAAATCTTCCTCCTCCTTGCTCAGGACAGTCCCGGGACCAACCCTCGCATCTATGGCCACCTTCTTCTTCACACGGTCGTGCAGCGAGGCTAGCGGTAACCCGTAGGTCTTCGCAGCAACGCGGAGCGACATCTGACCGCTGCATACCGCATCTACAGTCTTCTGGGCCTGCTCTGGGTCTACTCTCGTACGTCCTATGTTTTGCAGCAGGACCCCGAAAAGGGCAAAGATGCCCCACATCAGGGGTGTGGGTTTGGGCTGTGCTGTGTCTCGGGCGTGCTTGACCCGATCGACACGCGGAGGTGCTCAAACGAAAGCCAACGGAAAGCTGAAAATTTGAAAAAAAAAGTTGGGGGTCCCCCGTGGATTGTGCGCGAAGGGACGTGCATTTGAAAAAAGTGTTCGTTAAAGTGGGGATGTTCGTTAATACCCTGGTTTACTCTACACATAATACACCGGTGTCTGTTGCATGCGCCACAAAGGACGTAGTAGCGCCATCAGCAGTAGCAGCTAGTAGCAGCAAGTGTACCAGATGCCCCCTGTCAAGTTTCCCATGTGGGCACAACGCTCTTACCGCGGAGCTAGTGTACAGCAGTGGCGAAGATGTTTATCCATCCCTCGAATCTTTCGTTTTCGATCCTACAGAAGCCGAACACCTCGGTCGGATCTGCCACATGGTCCGAATAACCTGCACTTTGACACTGCTCTCAGGCACCATCGTCTTCGCACTACCTACCGCGCTCCCATTTGCATTTGATACGATTGGTCGCGCGCGAGTCGTCTGGGCCTACTACTACTGTAAACTTGTGTTATCGGGGGCGGCATGTGGGTGGTGCCTGAGTAAGGATATATCATAATCATCAGTGTCGTGATTTTGTAGACGGAGAGAGCCTATTAGAGGATTCGCGCCACAGACGAGCTCTGGAGCTGTTGTTCTATCCCTGGTGGATCGTATCCATCGTGAGGACGACGGGTACAAACGAACAAATTGCTGAATAATCATTCGATGCATCCAGAGATTGAGGTGCGCACCGCACACGGCCGCGCACCGCACACAACCAACCCACACAGACCAGTCGAATGAAGCAGCAGTGGTGCGAAAATTGAATTGTGAGCTCCTCCCACACTTTCCCAATCCCACGCGATAGACGGCCCGTAGTATCCACGCAGCAGCGTAGACAGCCCCCCCCCCCCCCCCNCCCCCCCCCCCCCCCCTGCCGTCTCTTGCACCTACGCCTACGGGACCCAACTACGGCAGCATGACATTGTTGAATGGAACAACGAACGGTCGTGTGTTTGGTTTACATGATTGGTGGAACACGGAAAGGTTGCTCGTGAACTGGCAGTCTCAATCGCCTCACGTACGTCAACAAAGCCTGTTAAGGAACGACACGTTGTGTCTCCCCTCCCACCCAAAGCCAACCAACCGTAGGCTTATCTGTACTCCAAAACACGAGGAGTGATGACGCGCACCCTAATGACCCCCGCCTTTGGCAGGAGTTTTGCCCGCCTGCTTACCCACCCACCCCCAAACCACAGAGGGTAGGGAAAACGTTTTTAAGCCCCTTTTGGTAAGGTAAGGAGGAAAGATTCGCCATCGGTGATCGGTCCTGTGGGAACAACGCTTCGTTCTCTCGAGGACGCGTGGTCAATGGTCAAACCGCTAAGCCATGCAAAACAGTATCCTCCACCAACCCGTACCGGAGAGAGATCCTTGACAGCTTAGTCTCCACCCTTGTCCTTCCCCATGCTGCCGCGCCCTACAAAGGGCAGAATAGATTAGCGATAACCACGGCGACACCGGTTGGTCTAACATATATTCTACACACGCAACCATCTCTGCGCCTACATTTACAAACCATTGTCTTCGGCTCAGCCTCAGTGTATGGCGACAACGCGAAGAGGGTTGGTCATCATCATTCGCGTGTTCGTATCCCTGCCCCACTTCCACCTTTCGTTGGTAACGGTTAGCGATCGATTGATCATGCTGCCGTGTCCATGCCCTCCTCTTCCTCCTCCTCCTCCTCCTCCTCCTCCTCCGAATCTTCGTCGTAATCCTCCCCCAGGGTGTTGAACATGAAGTCCTGCTCGTGCACGGCACAGTTCAGAACGAATTCAGAAGGCGACTAATAAACTTTCGGGAGGAAACTCGTGCGCAATGTACACATCTACAGGACGAACGGTACAAGAGCATGCCTATTATGGCCCATCCTGAGTTTCAAACCTTGGAATGAAGGCTTTCAGCGTTTGAAGTGTGCTTCTAAATGAAACCCTCTCCGACGATACGATGGAAAAAAAAAAACAAAGTGTGCTTCTATATAAAATACTCTCTCATGATAGATGCAACAATAAAACAAAGCCGCATAATCGGGCTGCCGTCGAGTAAAAGACCGTCGAGACCAACATGACACGGACTACTCAATAAAACAAAAAAAGGACGCCGCCGCCACGGAAACCACAGCAAAAACAAAAGACAGGCGCGGCCGTACGTATGTACCTACCTTCTGGTACTCCATGAGGAACTGCGTCGAACGCTTGATGTCGACGAAGAGGGAGTAGACCCTCTTGATATCTTCGATCTCCACCTGGGTGCCCTTGCGCTTGGTGCTCACCAGCTGCGCCGCCATGATCATGTGGATCGCGTACCGTAGCGATGTCTCCATCGCTATCCTGTGGACGCGTCAAAGGGTCCGGCGCCAACGGTACGTGGCGCAGATATGTGTATGGTAGATTGTGAGTTGGTTCGGCGGTCTTAGAGGATGGAGTAGCTACGTACTTTTGACCTGGCATTTATAGGCCGTTCTTGCCCACGGGTACACTGTTTCCTAGTAGAGTCACCCCCGACAGGAACTTGCAGATGAAATGTAGTCATTTCTACCGATACGGAGCGCCACTGTACCACTCACTCTTCGTCTAGAACAATAGGGAGTGGGTGGGGGGAGTCCCATCGTAGCTGGGCATGTCGTTTCTTTGATGAGGTAAGCGATTTTATAATTTTACGTGAGAAACATCCCGACTCGTTTTGTAATCGAAATCAAATAAAAGAAGCTTTGGTAAAACCCGTGTTCACAAACTGACCCACTCGTTTTGTGAACGAAATAAAACAAAAGGCGCTTCGGTAAAAACCGCGTGTCGAGAAACCGATATACTCTTAAAAGTTCAGCGTTTCACACTCACATGCGCAATACTCACTCGACGGCATAAAAAAACAAGAACCTCCGCGAAACCACTTGTCAACACAAACTGATGCTTACGGCACGTTTCGTTTCGTGGGGGGTACACAGGCTATACATGCCCGAGCGCGTAAACAAGAAAGTAATGCGCTGGGCGAGGAGCAGAAACCAGCACCGCTGAGAGAAGTGGAATGCAGCTCTTGGCCTCTTCAATGAGTCCATCATGGCTACCGCTGATCTCATCAGAGGATGGTACAGCAAACAAATGGTGCATATGGCGCCCAACTCGGGTGAACCATGCACGGAGTCATATATCGTGTTGTTACCCACACAATAATCTGCCCTTTCCTTCCCCCATGTCACCTATACGTGACTTGACATCCTGAGAGTTTCCTGTCTGGACAAGTACTCAGCCGATACTGCTGGGTGTTCGCTGTCTGGACCAGTACTCCACCGTTTTACGTTGGATGTTTGTCGTCTGGAGCAATGCTAGCCTGGAGGCGTGGTGGCTCCGAGAAAGTCTACGTAGATAATCTAGCCCAGGGAAGAACCAAAAGAAAAAGAGGCCACGTACTTGGTGAGGAGAATGATGGCGTCCTCGTCCATCTCGACGTCCTCTTCTTCGCACCGAATGGACAGGATCTTCTTCACTTCCTGTTCGCTGTACGCAACCTGCACGCCAAGAACAAGGACAACAACACAACCGACAGTAACAGGGTCCCGCCGGGAATATTGACGTCAACGTGAGGGTACATATAGTTCGGGTGGATTGCTCTCGCCAAATTCGGTGCAAGAAAATGTGCACGCTAAGAAGAAGAACGTGAGTAACAGCGGTAGGGAACAGGGTCAGCACCGACGTGTCTTGCCAAAGGCTTCATGGCTTGATTCGTGTCTTTGACGGAAAAACAAAAGAAAAAAACTGAAAAAAACATTGTCAGAAGCTCGATCGCCTTCTTGTCTGCTGCATGCACGCAGTCTGCACGACAAACAAGACGAGAAGATGCTGCTCAAAGGGCAAGACGACGCGAACAACAACGCTTACCGTCGACACGATCATCAATCTGTCGAGGAGGTCGATTGGGATGCCGTGGGGGCTCTTGTAATTGGTACCCCGGATCTTAGCGATGCCTCTGTTGGTGGCGATGATCAGCACCGGCGCGAGGTGGCTCTCGAGGGCGCGGTTCAGCCACGAGAAGCACTCTATATCCAGCATGTGCACCTGGACAGGAACAAAAAAAAAAAGAAATCCAGGCAGATGTGCCCTTTGTCGTATATAGCATGTGCACCTGGACAAAGTAGAATAAAGAAGGTCCGGGAGATGTGCCTATAGTCGTGTCCAGCATATGCCCGTCACCGGAAGCAGAAAGCTACCCAAAATCATAGACTCACCTAGAGAGTGAGGGTGAGTTAGCCTGTGACCGCGGGAATCGACCTCGTCGAGTGGTACATCAGTACAGACAGAGGGAGCTACTGGATAGAAAGATCGGAACAGTTAATGATGTCAAGACAACAAACAACAACAACAACAACAGACTTACTTGTTGTTCTCGTCCGACAAAAACAGGCCAAAGCAAACTCATACCTCGTCGATGAATAGCACCCCGGGGACGATGGTCGCCTTCCCCTCCTCCCGCCACTCCGCCACCTTGAGGTCGATCTGCTCCCGCACCTCTCCCTTAATCTCGCCCGTGTCTCCGGCGAAGAGCGCCAGGAAACCTTGCTGCCTAGAGTTTATCACGTCGATCTCGTGCAGAGATACCTTCCACGGCACAGCAAAAGTCGCAAGAAAAAAAAAAAGCTTGGTGACGGTTCAGCATATCCCTCCAACAACAATAAAAAAAAAGCGACTTTCATGCGGTATGAATTAAAATAATACACACACAAACACGATGTTGTGTACCGGTGTCTGTGCACGTGCGCCTTTCCTTTAGATATTTCTTGATTCAGCGAGGCACGAGGAAACACCATGTTTTGTACCTGTTGTGCGCATGTGCGCCTTTCATTCGCCTGTATCTTGTTTATCAGCGAGCAAGGGTCTGTTTCTCCTCGGTGGAAACGAACCAGACTAGACTACCCCAGATCACCTCGGAAACGGTTTCACTGTCGCACGTCGCTCGTGCTCCGATTTCACGTAAAACACTCGCGAGCGACAAACCGGGGATCTCCTCCAGCGTTTCCAATACCACGGCTACTCGTACGGCTCCCTCGTTCTTCTTCCTGATAAGCCTTTTCACTGCCTTTCAAAAAAAGTGACGACTCCTTACGCGCTTGGCATTGGCCCGCCCGCTAAGAGCGTGTGCGCCTTCGCCTACTTGGATATCAACTTTAGGTTTGCCACACGGCTTTGTTGGAGCCCCTTGCACCACAGCTATCGATGCTCAGGCATAGGCCAGAAGTATTTTTTCAAGCTGAGATGGATACAACATATCACTCTTGTCAAGAAATGATATCACCACATAAGACAAGCAACGGCGATGATGACGACGAGATGAGAGAACTTCCACCGCTACCGCCTGCCATCAAACCGAACCGTCACCAACTCACCACATGCACCACTTCCTTGCGCTTCTGCAGCTCCCCCTCGGGGCACTGCACGAAGCGAGTCTGCGGGCCCATGGCATCGTAGTCCCGCGACCGCGTGAAGGAGCGGCCGAGCTTGGTGATCTTGCCTGAAGCCTTGTCGATTGTCATCACGTCTCCGGCACCCACCTTCCCACACAAAAAGAGAGAAGCAAAACGAAAAAATAAATAAATCGTTCGTTTCTTTTCCGCCTCTTTTCTTACGATTGAAATGAAAGACGACAAAAAAAACAGAGAAAACAATTCGTTTGTTTCAGTTTGCTAAACTTGCTACGAAAACAATACAAAACAAAACCCAAAGAACCGTTGTAACAGGCCGTAGCTGTGAGTCAGAGAAAATAGCGGCGGTGTAGTTAGCAGGCTACCGTCTCCCATAGTAAATGGGGTGTGACAACGTGACAACACACAGCACGTGGCGCCAAGTATGGTTGTTACTCTCCGGAGTCGCTGGGGTGCGACAGCGTGACAACACTCGGGGCACACGCGAGCCGCGACGGACCTTCTCCTTCTGCAAGGCCTCGATCATCTTGGCACCGAGGTCGTACACCGTCTCCATCTCGGTGGTGCACAGCGTGACTCGCCCCGTCTTGTCGCCGCCTCCCACGGGGGTGTCCACCTGAGTTTTTTTTTTGGGGGGGGGGGTACTCTTATGTTTTGCATGCCTCAGCGGTTGGACCATTGACCACGCGTCCTCGAGAAGACGGAACATTGTTCCCACAGGACCGATCACCGATGGCCAAGAGTTTTTTAGGGGGATAGAAAAATCGACAACCGCATGTTCGCACCATTCATCAGTTGATGGATTGAAGCAACCAACCATGTATACCAAAATAATATATGTACATGTATCGAAGTATTTTTGTGACGCAACAAATCCATCTTTCTATTATAATAGTAAACTATGGCCGTTGTTGTACAAGTCATTATATGAGGGAAAAAACGTAACCACCCCAATACACACGGAGTATTTGTGACAAAACCAAGAGCACAGCAGTCGCACCATTCATCAACTAAGGAACTACCAATAGCCGAACCAACCATGCTACACACATAACACACAGATGCCTAAGTGCATGAATAAAACCATGCTTTGTCAGCTCACCTGAATCTCCACTACCTCTCCCTCAATGATCTCCGTCTCCTCCATGATCTTCACCCCAATGCTGCGGCGGAAAGCCTGCGTCAAGGCTTCCGTCTTGGACATCTCTAAGGAGAAGATCTCCGAACCCGCGATCGTGGTGAACGGGGTGTCGGGCCCTAATGCCTGCCCGCGGTTTCCGCGACAAAGAAGCGTCCGCGTGTCAGCGTTGTTGCCCCTCCGTAAAAATGAAAAACTGCATCATACAAACTCTCAAATGTACGCTGTCCATCCCACGTTTGTTATGATTCTAGTCGCATTGCATTATCGGGACCACATGGCCGTAGTTTGCCTGTGATTCACAAACACTTGTGCTCTCAGAAATTGTACCCCCAACGCGTCCCATTCACCAAGCTGGTATTATAGTGCTCCGCTAAGGGTTACATGGGTTCATAGCAAAATATCCTGGACGCTCATCCGTGGATCGTTGTTGAGGAAAAAAAAAAAAGCGTAGAACATATGAGTTGGTCACCGTACAACACTATAAATTTGTTCCTATTTATTCTACTACGGACTCTTATCGTGTCCTTTGTAAGAAAAACAAAACAGAACAAAAAAACACGCCACCTTACCTGCGCTAAACCCATCGCGATTGCGGTTTTGCCGGTGCCGGGCTTCCCAGCCAGCAGGATCGCTCTGCCGGCGATCTGCCCCTCCTGGATCATCTTATAGATCACGCCGGTGGCTCGGCGCGCCGCGTGCTGCCCCACCAGCCCCTGGCTCACGTCCCGCGGCTCGAGGGAGTCGTCGAGCCCTAGCCCGCGGATGTGGCTGTGAGCGCCGATGCGCTCGATTCGCGTCAGGTCGCGCACCTCCGTGTTGCCCAGGGACACATCGGCAGCCTGCGGGGAGAAGGGGGGGGGGATGCAAGGAAGAATGCGGGGGCCTTGAGAACTCACAAGAACCAACGTATTCCAAATAATCGGTCTGTAACTCTGGAGAATTCGAGCTATGAATGATATCGGTCAAGGGCACGATAACTCGCGCAGCACATGGTGGCTACAACACCGCTAGGCATATCGCCGTCAGACACGGAGCGCTGCGTGTCATAAAGTGCCAATTTCGAAGTACCTAAAAAACAAAACAACCTCAGGACTCTGTCGGGCAGTATTGGTACAATCGTGGGCCCCCTATACGGCGGGAAGGTGCACGCTGATGCAACCGCCCTTCCATGAATTTACGGGGCACCCGCCACGACCTGGTTATCCTATCTGAGTGCCAAGAGGTTTCACTGTCCCTGTGCTGCCCACCCGCCCTATCGCGACTACTACTTACTGCAAGCCGAAGGAAGGGTGAGACCCACATCTACCTCAGGTCTTCCTCCGACGAGGGAGAAGCTTAGTCTCCGTGAAGACCCGCTATGTACAACACGGATATCTGCCCGTCTGTAGTAGCAAGCAACCGAAAGACAGCCAACAACGCAGACACTTTGTCCCCTTCTCCGATCCGGTTATAGCCCTTTCACGGTTTAGGTTTATGGGATCTCATTGTTGTGTCGTTGTGGTTGGGTGGGGAAACGTGGCATGCTCAAACGCCCAAACACAGTTCCGTACTTGTACAGCCGAAAAAGGCACTCGGAAGTTACACTATATAATAGTCTACAGCAGTTGCCGCGGACTGGTGAGTTGGTGTCGGTAAAAGGCAGCGACGGGTGAGGGCTACGAGCGTTTGCCTCAATTTTTGTTTGTATCAACAGCATATATAAATGGGACTGAAGGGCCACTTCACCAGGACCAAACGGGATTCAAATCAGGATCAGGGCGAGCGTGTTGGTAGCGGAGGGGTAGAGGAGAAGAGGGCGTCAAGAGCGTTGACATCGAGTCCCAACTACGTAAAAGATCGCGTGTGAGAGGAGCATGACGGATATATGTACCGCCCGCCGACCACCTAGGGAGAGTCACCATCAAACAAGAGCCAGTACCGCAGGCGCCTACTGGCGTACGATCTAATGAAACGATGTGTACATTCCACGATCGTTTGGTCCTCTCACCGCCATGGCGCTTGTGCTTTGGCTTTCCCTCGCCCTCCTGCAGTCTGTCCCGTCCTCAAGCCCAGAGACTGCCTGATGCTGCTGTCGGTTTGCGGTGGATATCTATAGAGACGAGTTGTGCCCCCCTGTACAACGGTCGGAGACTGCCGGAGACTAGAACCAGATGCTCAGCGTGAGCGGATTAGCCCCTTGTAGGTAGGTCCCTGAGAGATAAACAACTCTAAGCGGCAGGTCTAGTTGTTGCTATGTCCCTTGGGGTGTGGCGGAGGTAGGGAGAGCTAGCTACCTTAGGGGGCCCTACCGCTGGCACTGGAGGGTGGGAGGTACCAAAAAATACAAATCGCCCCGCAGGGAACCGATCAATCTCGATCTTACAGCAGTCTCTGCAGCTCCGTCTCCGCCTTTGCAAACCGGACGAGATGACCTCAACACGCCGCTCACGCCAGCCGCCTCGGGGGGCTATGAACGCCCTCCACGACGCGGCGTTCAAGGGATCCACGGAGCGTACGGCGGAGCTCGTGGTGACCGGTTCTTGGGACATCAACCAGGCAGGGCACCGTCAACAACTGGACCCCCCTCATATTCGCGGCCAGCATGGGTCACTCGAGCGTGCTCGGGATCCGTTTGAGCAAGGGGGCCAACGTGTCCATCGTGACCGACACCGGCGTCACCGTCCTGCACGTGGCGGTCGAGGGCGGGCACGCCGCGGCGACGAGGGTGCTGGCGGAGGCGGGCGCGGACCTGGACAGGCCTGACCCGCAGGGCTTCTCGCCGCTGCACGTGGTGGCCGACTTCGGGTTCACCGACCTGATGAGAGCGCTGATTGACGCGGGCGCGAACGTCGACATCCACACGCCGATCGACGGGGAGACGCCGCTGTTCAGGGCGATGACGGAAGGGCAGCTGGAAGCGACGAGGGAGCTCCTGCGCGCGAACGCAGACCCGCTGATAACCAGGGCGCCGCTGCCGACGCTGCTCCCGCTGGACTCGGCCGCTCGCAACGGCACTCCCCTTCTTCCCCTCGCTGCCTCGGCTAGGTTTTGCTTAGGCATGGCCCATAGCGAGGGGGTGGGGGGGGGTGTACTCATAGTCGTGCATGCCGTAGTCGTTAGACCATTGACCTCGCATCCCTACGAAGCCGGGACGGAGCACGCCGGGTTCTCCGCGGACCAGGCTCTCACNTCACCAAGCGCGAAGCGCCGTGAGATATTCGGCGAGTCGCATGAAGGGTGCGCTGCATCCTGCTAAGTGAGGGTGTTCCGCATCTTGTTGTGCTTACTTCCTTGCGTACGGATGACAGCTGCGTATGACATAATTTATTTTCTGGTGCTTTCACTTCCTGAGACAATTGTAATCACTGTGTAACTACCTCGAGGGTGCTTGGTCATTTCAACACAACGTGGTGCGATCATCTCCCTTGCGCGGAGTGAAGGTTTTCGACCCCGCACAACATGATCTACTCGACCACCATTATGGTTACCGCCAAAAA